TGAGTCCCGTCAGAAGAAAGAGAAGCAGAAGAGTGACCGCATTCTCAAAACCTTCCAAAGTGCTGTGGAGGCGGTGACACCTCACGGCTCCATAGTCATGTCTCCAGGAGGTGCCAAAGAAGACTCAAGTGGCCCTCAACACTTTTCCGCCACCCCTCTCAGCTCTTGGCACCACATTGTCATGTCCAACAGCAGCCGCTACTCTGTCACTAACATGAGCAACATCCACCTGCCCATGTTAAGAGGCGCCACGCCTTACCGTCCCACCAGCTCCTCCGGGATGCGTTCGTACTCCCAGCCAAACCTGTCGGCCGATTCCCCTCGCTCTGCTCCAGACAAGTCCATCTCTGCTCAGGGCATTCGCTCAGATCCAGAGATGAGCCACAGCAAGCTAAGCCCCACTGCTAACAGCCTGACGAGATCCAGGCCCGCTCTCAATGTAAAGCAGTCAGAGGGTAAAAGTAAAGTCAAAGTCAAGAAAATGAAGAAAAAGAAACCGAAGAAGAATGCAGGCAAAGCTTCAAAGAACCCTGCAGTAACGGTCAAGTGACATGAACACTGTATAATGCTGTATTACGTGATATACTATACATGTGATTTGTTTTTCCCTTGATTATTATGTCATGCAATATTTTTAAATGAATAAATAACACATTTGATTATCAATCTTATCTAAAAATCTATATTTATTGCTTTAATAAGTTATCAGCGGTCATGTCTTCGCCACCTTGCAGTTAACGACACTGAGTGGAATGGGCCTTCTTCAGAAACATAATATTTCATCATGGTATTCGGGAATGGTGTTCTCATGCGAGCCCACACTCTTGAGGATAATTGTAAACAAACATCTGAGGTTAATTTCTGTTTGCTGTAGATAAGAACGAGCATTATATCCTGGCATGTTCCTCAACTAATAATTCTGTGAAGTGAGACAGGTGCTGCGTCCTCTGATATGATGGAGGAGGATCTATAAATTCAAATGATCCACCTATCTCAGTCATAACCACTCTGACTGCAGCAGAATGATCGTCACTCTGTATTTCTCAGCACTGCTGAGCTCCACGGTTGCCTGGGAGGTACGCATGGCATGACGTAGATCAAGCGATTCATCTTTATTCTCTAAAGCTCCGTACACATTTAAGTGAGACGATTTCTTCCATCGAACTCTTTTTTTAGGGAGTGAGGAGCGTGTGGAGCCAAGGGAATCCAAGGAATGAGTCCGGAGGTGGAGGTGGTGAAAGGTGCTCCTGTGACGCCTTCCTGCCCGGTTCAACTTTTCCTGTAGGTGATCTGGTGGTGATAGAGCAGACAGCAGTGGAGATCTCACGTGAACTGGAGCTGGAAATGGGCAAGGTATTTAGTCACAAGGGAACGTGTGCATTAAAAGATTGCATAATTGTGACAAAAAACATTTTTGAATGTTTTTTTCCCCAATTAAATTTCAGCTGGGGCAATATGAAATCAAAGTGACAGAATATGAAGAAAAGATCGTAAAACTCACAGCAAAAATTGAAAAAATGGAGGAGAATCCTGATGGCTACAGTGAAAGTGAACGGAATGAGATAAAGATTGAGATTAAACAAGTGGAGGCCTTGATTATAGACCTGCAGCTCTCCATCAACGGCTCCACTGCTGTCCTTAAATCCCTGCGTGTACAGGTATGTCCCGAGCTGAAGGTGCTTTAAAAACCAGCAGAAGCAGTGGAGATCCATTGTGTTATCTTTCAGATTACAGTCATGGTGGAGACCCTGAACAGGCTGGAAAAGACCTACGACAAGAATTTAATTCTGGTGACACGCCGAGAATACCTTAAGGTGCAGCTGCAACTAGAGGAGTGTGAGAGACGTCACCAGGAGCTTTTCTACCCCAACATTGGTAAGCTCACTTATACCATCATTCCAGTTGTAATCCCTGTTTTTGTGATTACAACCTAATTTTCATCTCCTTCTGCAGGTTCATGTGCACACACTGGTATCACCAAGCTCAGCAAACCCATAGTAAGCCAACTGAATGCCCATCTAAATGCTGGCTACAGATTTGGTGGATGGGGGAAAGATTCAAAACCTATTCCAGACAGAGAGTCCATGTACTGGTACTCTGGGTATACAAGTGCCTCCATTATTGACATCAGGTTCTACACTAACTACAAGAACCTCATTTTAAGAAACCACTTTCAGCATCACAGCTTACAAACCAGCTGGCGTGGCACAGGAACCAATTTTATCTTCCGTGACAACACTCTGTATTATCAGATCAACAGCCCGTTTGGGTTAGCTAAACTGAATTTCACCTCAATGGCATATGAGTCCCGGGTGATCCCCAAGGCTAGTTCAGGCTTCTCTTATGCATACTTTCCCAGTCAGAACTTTGACTTTGCTGCCGATGAGACCGGGCTGTGGGTGACCTATGCCACACAGCAGTCTGCCGGTCGGATGGTCATTGCTAAAATAAATGAGGCGTCTTTTGGGATAGAGGAGGAAATGGAGACTAGTATCTACAAGCCGGGTGTGAGCAATGCCTTCATGGTTTGTGGCACTTTGTATGCGGTCAGGACAATCGATACCATCACTGAAGAGATATTTTACAAGTATGACACTAAAACCAAAGAGGAAACTTACATCAGTATTCCCTTTGAGAGGTTCCAAGAGAAGTACTCAAACCTGCACTACAATCCCGCTGACCAGAAGCTCTACATGTACAATGATGGCTACTATGTCCAGTATCACCTGTGGTTTAACCACACAGCTGTGGCTACGGCCACCACGGCGCCACAAGTTCTTTCGACCTAAATTGAAGATCTGATATTTTCTGAAGTATCACATCATATGAATGAGCCAACTATTGTCTCATCTTGTCGAGTAATGACCTCCTAATCCTTCTTGATTGTTAATAAATGATTTCAAGCATCACACAAGTGTCATGAGTGTCTTTTTTTGTGAACTTTGAAAACTAAAACAGAATTAAAAGAAAAATGGTTCTTAATTGTACCTTCAAAAACTTCTATTCTACTGTAGAGGTAATAGCTGTTGTTTTAGTTAGTTTGCTAACTATTAATACAATATTTGTAATTATTATAACTTCCCTGACAAATCATTGATAGGCATCTACAAGAGTGTGAGTCCACGGTTTCAAAACCTATATTTTTATTGTAACACCTGTACTAATTTTCCTAAATCTTGCCTCAGATGTTTGCCCTCTATTCAGTAAAATTTAAAATGATTAAAAAAACTAACAAAAAAAACTAACACTGAAACTGATCCAAACTCAACTAAACATTTTCCCACAATAAAAATTAAACTCAAACGTGGAAATCCACCCTGGAAATTGACATTATGCAGAATTAGAAACAAAATGTCAAAATGAAATAAAAATAAAACTTACTTGAACATACAAAACTATAACATCTGTGTTGACTGCAGTCATAAATTATCTAACTGAACCACTTTATGCATGTCTGCATTTAAAGTGCAATGGAATAATCATCCTGTATGTGCAGTAACTTGACTAAAAACTGCTACAGTGGCAGTCAGAGAATACATCCTACCCCAGTTCAAATGATGATTCCTACACGGACTCCTCTCCCACGCCTCATCCCCAATTTGCAAACCCAGCTCCTCCCATGCATTCTTCAAAAAGTCAGATTTAGAATTCAAATACTCTGGAAAAACATTCACAAAACCAAAAACCAACTTGTTAGAGTTCGGGGAGCCCAGAAGGAGCTTAAAAATTGGTCCCCCTTCTGGAAGAGATGGAAAGTTGAAAATACTCTGACGAACATAGTTTCCTATCTGCAAATATCGAAAAAAAAATGTGACTCAGGGAGAGAGAACTTATTCTGCAATTGGGTAAATGAGACACCCAATACAGAGTTCTATTCCTGCATATAACAAACGTGATCCCACCTTGCACTGAACTTTATCGTGTTTACATATCCTTACAAAATAAACTAGAGGGCATTCTTAGGCATATATGGGATGGAGACATTCAGACTTGATACCACATAAATAATAAAAAAAGATCAATATTTCTCACACCTGGTATTGTTTCACCTCATGAGTCTTTGTGCAAGTCCATGTTTGTATCTCATCATGAAATCAAGTCGTCCCAAAACTTTACAGGTGTGAACGCCAAGTCTGAAGATTGTTCAAGAACTCATTAGAATTGTCATTGGAAGATTGTCCCTCAGTGTTTTTCAGTTTTTCTAATATGACAAATAGCAGGGTTGTTTTTTTTTGTGAAAACATATTGAAGAGTTCAAAAATATGTGAAATAAATAAACAAACAAATAAATAAATAAATAAAAGCCCTATGAATATGTTTGTGTGTCAAAGCAAGAAAGGCAGAAATCATTTAGTCCATATAGTGAACTAGTTCACAGTGAGGTGCTACCACACACTAACAGGCAAAATCTCCCGTAGCTGTTCAACAAAAAAGACCTTAATGAGGGCAAACATTTGAAATTGTTACAGAAAAAAAAACCTAAATCCAAAGTGCTTCAGTTACTTGAAATTATTTCTTTGAGTGACGTGATCATGTCTGATATAGAAAATACTTTTGGTAGACTTGGTACATTTGGTAACTGTAAAGCCCAAATTGACTGATTCACACATACTTCATCTAATGATCCAGTGAGTCCTTCTGCCCTCAGAGGTTTCTGTAATGAGAGCAGTGGCTTTATCACTTGTCTCTGCTCGTTTACAGTCTTCAATTACTGCCTTCTTTATTGATTTTCAATCACTCACAGTCAGCTTTTCACAAGAAAATGCATTCGAGTATCATCTGCCTTTTATTAATAAATTTAAACTCTAATGCTATTTAATGAGGAAATCTTTAAACCAGCATTTTGATTCAGATAAGTTTGTCAAACATAGTGATTTTATTGAGTCAGCATTTTATTCAAAGTTCCTTATGGCAAAAAGCTTCGTTTCCACAAACTACTGTGTTCAAAAACTCCACCCAAGTCACTTGCAATTACTGGCATAGATGGAGAAGTATAAGTTGCTTCATTTTAATGGACTTGTGACTTCACACTTTTAGGACGATGTCCTAAAAAACCTTTATGACTTACAGCAATCTACTCCTAAAAGAAGTCGTGTTTGCCTTTGTGCAAACACGACTCAGGATCATAGAATGAATACTTGTCCAAATTGTCAGGTCATAAACATAACAACACAGCAGCAACACATGCTGTGCTTCTCATCCGCACCCCACATTTGTATTAAACGTGACGTGGTGGATTCCTCTGTGCTTGTCATAAGCAAACAAATACAATGCCTGAGTGTATGTTGGACTAAGATAATAAACTTGTGAAGAGAGAAGGTGTTTGAGATGGTCTGATAAGAGCTACCTTTAAAAACACTCTGAGAAAGCCACGGAGAAAACCTTTGAGAGATGAAGAGAGACACAATGTTGCCAGCTCTTCTGCTGCTGCTCCTGCCAGCCCTCAGCCCTGTTTTGGCCTGGATTGTAAGTGCCTTTACTTTTCTAATAAAGCGTGCAGGCACAGTGATTAGTTATGTCTCTTTAATGTTTTTTTGTTTTTTTGTTTTTTTGTTTGTTTGTTTTTTTAATTTTAGCCAGTGGGGGACTGGGAGTCTGGAAATGTAACGGCATCACTGAGTGAGTCAGGTCAGTGTGTTTGCCATGTTTTTCTGCCTGACACAACCTTCCCTGCTGACCGGGTTGAGCACATGCAAGAAGTCACTAAAGATCTGATGTTGGAAGTGGAAATCCAAATGAACAAGGTGCAGTAGGACTAAATAATTATGTGACATTTGAAAGCATATGCTGTAGTAACACATTAACATTGCTTTTTTCACCCTTCCAGATAGTGGGCTTTGAGGCTAAGCTGGCGGTCTACCTGCAGGACCTAACTGAGCTGACAATTAGAGTGAACATACTGGAAAGCAGTCCTGACAAATACATCAAACTGGACTTTGAGCTGCTCAGGATTGAGCTGAGAGAATTTGAGGCTCTGGTAGCTCAGCTCAAAAACTCTCTCAACTCCTCCTCACCCATATTTGACAGCCTGTACACTGAGGTAAAAACTGCTTTTGAACTTACATGCAAATGACTTATTTTTAAGAGCACCTAATTTATGTGTCTGTCTTTCTGTGTTTTTTAGATCCACAACATGACCCTCATTGTGAACCAACTGGAGAGTTATGACGAGAGCAACCTGGCGGTGTTCCGCATTGAGCTGGCTAAGCTGCAGAAGAAGCTGGAGGACTGCCAGAAGGAGCAGGAGCTCATCAATCCAGATATTGGTAAGGCCACTGCCTTGGCTGGATTAACGCTGGTGTACGGTCTTGACATTACTAATAATTTTAAACATGCTTATTTTTCTCTTCAGGTAACTGCAATCACACAGGAATCTTGGCCCTCAGCAAGCCAATGGTGCTTCAGCTGAATGCTCATCTGACCCCAAGTTCCATTTATGGGGGCTGGGGAAAAGACTCCAAACCTCTTCGAGGTTCTGAGTCCATGTACTTCTTTGGTGCATACAGCTCCCCTTCAATCAGTGACTTTTACTTGTACTCTAACTATGATAAGCTGATTCTGAGGTCTGCATTCAAACACCATCGCACACCAAACGGGTGGGCAGGGCTTGGGAGCAATTTTATTGTTCACGGTAACAGCCTATACTATCAGCGCAACTCACCTCTCAGTATGGCCAAACTGAACCTGACCAGTTCCACATATGACTACAGAGTGATCTCAGCCGCTAGTTCAAAGTTCTCTTACAGTTACTCAGCCAGTCAGTTCTTAGACTTTGCAGCTGATGAAAATGGAATGTGGGTAATGTATGCTTCAGAGGCAAGCAAAGGGAAAATTATCATTGCTAAGATAGAAGAAAAATCTTTTGGTGTTGAAGATCAGTGGAATACTGGTGTGTTTAAGGAGATGGTGGGTAATTCTTTCATGGCCTGTGGAGTTATGTATGCCACCAGGTCAGTGGATGTTGCCACAGAGGAGATCTACTACGCATTTGACACGAAGACCAAGGAGGAGAAACACCTCAGCATTCAGTTCCAGAAGTTTCAGGACAAATACACCAACCTGGACTACAACCCCACCGACCAGAAACTCTACATGTACAACAATGGCTATTATGTGTCCTATAATGTGAAATTTGACAAAGAATAATTTTATCTCTCGGTCATCTGCCGTATTGTGATCGATACGAGTCTTCTGTAATCTCTTAAGCCCTGTGTTTTCTGTGATGCATTGACTTTTGGCTATCTTTTCCTGAATAAAATCAAACTGAAGCATTCAAATAAAGTGAACTGTCTCAATTGTCTATGCACATAAATTATATCATTATGAAATTATGCCACACAAATTTAGTTTCAGATTTAAAATAGTTCTAGATAATCAAATGAAACAGGAAAAAATGCATGAATTTGATAAAATAATTCTTACTGTATTCAGATAAACATTTTTGCACACAAGTCCTTATTGAATAGAAAAACATGAACCAAAATATGACAAATAGGGATACAGTGGTGCACATTTGTCCAGTGTTCACATGTTAAACAGGGTTTTAAATAACTTTGTGCTCTATCTGCAGCTGGGCATTAAGACTCACAATCAGAATTTAACATGCGCATAAAGTCGAGTATAAAATGTGATTTTTACTGCAGATTAATCACTTTAGCTTTCATTGATCAAAGTGAACTAATTGAGCAGTTCTTTCATGTAACTGGAGAGTTTACAGGAGTTTAAAGGAGATAATAAACTGTTTTAAACTGCAGCTGAAGATAAACTGTTATCATGCGATGTAAATAAACATATACACACATTTCACAGAAAACCGCAGCTTCATACAGGATTTACTTTCTGATACTAAAAATGCAAGTTTCTCACCATAAGTACTAAAATAAAGATTCGCCATAATGATCTTTTAATTCTGGGTTTTTTTTTTCATACATTAGATTAAATAACGAAAACAAACAACAGGAACCCTGTCATGGACCTGTAGTAGTCCAAGGATAGTATACATAATGCACACATGTGCACTAATCTCAAGGGTCAGTGATGCTGTTCTAATAAAATGTTTATGGCCATGAAATGATGTCACACGGTTTAGCTAAGATAATAAGAGGGGTATTAGACTACAGATAACAGCAGCTGTCACATCTGAATACGTTAGAAGCTCTTCAAGCAAGAGCACAACTGCTTTGTCTTTAATGCTGCTCTTTCAATAAAACAGAAATACAAAAGACATCAACTGTGTACATGCCTGTAACTGTAGGAAACGGTATCTATGTCACCAGGCCAGACACTTTGAAGTTCTACTACTTATGACACTGAGGGAAGTGAGAATCATCTTACAGATATTTCCGGAGAAATTTGTCAGCTTGCATACAATCCCACTAATCAGAGGATCTACAAACACAGTGACATCATGGTTCCTATCATGAAACATTCAACACCCCGATATCTTCTTGGTCTCCTGTATTGTGATTGTCATAAATGTTGTCTTACATTGTGCTAAAATCAAAGTTTATCATTCAACTGGGTTATTTTTGCTTCAGTTTGAATTAAAACAAAATAAAATTTGATTTGATTTAATTGTGGATGGGTTAAAAAAAAACAACAACTCTGTGGTGACTAATACCCCTCCCCTTTTGGATAAGGTTATTTGATCTTATGCCCCTCTTTCTCCCCCTTCTTCCAGGGACATGCTGGAGTTTCCTCCCACTTCCGTAACCCAATCCCTCCCTTGGGTGGATGAGGGGGTGGGGGAGGACTTGCCTTTGTGCTCTGGTTGGAGCGTGGCTCCATCTGGTACCAAGTACCCACCGAAACCCAGCAGCTTATCAATTCTAAACAGCAGGAACCTTTCATTAACTGTACATGGTCGACATAAAAAAAATAAAAAATAAAAAATAAAAAATCGATTGTTGTATAAAATGAATAATTTTAAATGTGATTAGTCTGGAGAAATCTGAGGAAAATCCATTATTTTTAATTAAATAAATAAATAAATCTGGGCTGAAAATAGCCTTCAGTCAGTCAACACAAATACAGCACTGTCTCTTTAAATCCTCTAGCATCTGTCAGGATAACAGGGGGGGAAGTGGTCTCTGTGTGTGGAACGGTACCCTAAAGTGACATCATGCTCAGCCAATCAGCAGCCTCGCCTGAGCTCTCTCCTCCTGTCCTGCTTGTGGGATGATGTGTTCTGGTTGCTAAAGACACGGGCTGCTGCTGCTGCTGATGCTGCTGCTGGGGCGGAGGGTCCAGGCCATGCTCGCCTTGCATCAGGTACACAGCGTGCATTTGTGCGGGTTACACGTGTTTTCTGTGGTGTTAGTGCACTTATGTATCATGATACACTGCTAGCTTACTGGCTATGAGGTGAATGTTGTGAAGATGATGGATTATAATGGAGGAGACTGCAGATGGGTCTGTGTGGCTCACACTTCTCAGATGATGACGCCTCCACGGCTGGATGGGGTGTGTATGGCTCTGATGTTTCAGTGTAGACTGAACTGGAGGGGGGATATAGGATTTTCATATATAGAAGGTTTTCTTTTGAGCCATAGCTTCCGCATGCAGCCTGATAATTAATTCATTTAATGTTATAAATGGCATACTAAAAATTTAATCAAGCCTCTTGTTAGCACATACTTTTGCTCCTTGGAAGTGATCGCTGTCATGTGATTTGTGGGAGTCGATTACCCCAGTTTTTATAGCATGTACAGTTGGGAGTCCTTGTGTCTACACCTTTTTCAGGCAAGCCTTTGCGTATTTATCATGTTTTAAGGAAGAAATATTGCATTTATGAGACATACAGCTATGAGCCTCAGTGCTCTGAGTCATCTCTCTGTCATCTTGGACATTTTCTGCTCTGCTTCTTTCCATTCATCACAAATAGAAGAGCAAAGCCTGCACTCACTTCCTGTTCTGCTCTGACGGTTAACTCTTTGCTTGTGCTCGCTCAGATGATCATGCCTTTCTGCAGAGACCCACGTTTTGGAGTCACTGGGAGCAGACACGCTCTGATTCCAGTGATCGAGGGCAGAGATGAGCCCTGCTGTTGATAAGACTGAAGAGCAAAGGTAATCTGAACGGTTGTGTTGTTTTAATATCATTTTAAAAGCCTCACAGCAGCAGTGTGATTAACATACCCAAGTTTTATATTCAGTTTCTCTTTCTGTGATTAGGCAGTTTGCACATATCTCAACTATATTTGAATTTAGTTCCATTTATTTAAGAGTAATGTCTAACTTTCTCCGCTATGCACAGGCCCAGCTGGACCTTGACGGGTCCAAAAGAAGAAGTGATGGCAAAAAGAGATTACTTGGTGGAGGCGGCCAAGCAGATCCGCATGGCACTGGACAGTGAGGTGAATGAGGACTATGAGGCAGCTTTCAGTTACTACAAGAACGGCGTGGACCTGCTGCTAAATGGGGTTCAATGTAAGTGGAAAATATCTGGTCTCTTTTCTGCGTGACAGAGTGAATAGGGAACATGGAAATGCATGTTTGCACAAGACATGTGATGGGAAGATGTGAACGAGTATAAAAACAGGAAGTCATAAAACAAAGGTTAAGCACAGATTTGCTTGCTGGCCAAATATTTTAGGTGTGTGCTGCTGTTTTATAGATCAAAGGTACTTTGTGGCATTTGATATATTCCCAAAGCCAAGGTTTTACCCACTTTTACTGGTGTGAGACTGAGTTGAATTGTTTTGCAGTGGATCCGAACAAGGATCGTCGGGAGGCTGTGAAGAGGAAAACAACCCAGTATTTGAAGAGAGCAGAAGAAATCTTTATAACACATCTACAGGATAACCTGGGAAAAGGGAGCTCTCATTTAGGGGTAAGACAATCATCCTTTGCTGCTTTTAAGAGAAGAAAAAATGCATCTTGTTTGTTAATCTGCATGCAGGGTTGTAACATATTGTAGCTCAGCATTCCTTGCTTGTACTCTTCTCAAAGGACAAAACATTTAGCGCCTACTATCAAACCAAGTTTCAAATTCTTACTTGAGATCTGGTTGATTTCTGTGTCATCAGGGCTACAGCAGTCTGAGGTTCCGTCCAATCAGACACCTGAGTTCACCGGTGGAGGATCTGGAGATGTGTAAGGTTGTGGGTGTGGCTGACAAGGTATGAAAGACTTTTGTTTTAATTTAGATTTTTATTGTTTCTTTTGCCTTTTTGCACTCCTTGTAGTACACAGTGAACGTGTCAATGATCAACTGCGCTCCAACCTTGAAACTTGCTGTAATAATTTACCCGCTTTTATGTGGAAGGCTAAAGTTGTTATTTCTCATTCTTAAGGTCCTAATTGTGCAAAGTATGGTCAACAAGGAGACATTTGTGGTAAAGGTGAGTGTGCGCTCTATAGTAGCCAGTTGATCAACAAAATTATACCTATAAAAACACATCCATTGGCCAACACGTGTCCACAGATAGTTGAGATGTGGACACGAGGCGGAGGGTTGCTGTCTAGCAGCAACACCGTTGTTGTATTCTGTTGCAGGCTAGTCGATGCTGATTGTCTCCCAGAGTATCACTCCACATTAATCAAGCCTAAGAGCTCTCACCCTTTTAGCCAGTACTAGTGCACCTCATATTTCAGTGTACAGATAGACATTGCAGCAGACAGGCACTTGGACCTAAAGGGTCAATCCAAGCAGTGGTTAATCTACGCCCGAATGAGTAATAATGCACCTGCGTCTTTCTCATCTAGAAAATGCTAATTTATATATAACTATATGAGTCATGCTCATTATGTTCCAGAGCCTGGTTAAGTCTAGCTGGGAGAGCAGGGACCAGCCAACAATCATTCCTCAAGGGGTGCCATACATGGTAAAGCTGCTAAGATATTACGTCAGTGAGGATGCTGTGTATCTGCATTTGGAGCATGTCAAAGGTGAGCGTTTAACCACTGCTCTCACTGCTGCTGGAACAATGTGGATGGATTTTTGGTAACAATAATGGAGTGTAATATAGAGGGGTTTTTTGCATCGCTCCTTCTCTGTAGGTGGGAGGCTTTTCTCCAAGCTGCATAAACTGAGGAACGAGAAGGCCAAGGAACACCCAGAATGCTTCACTTCTCGCCATCATAACACCAAGCTGAAGACCAGCCGGACCTCACCTGCAATCAGCGCAGACTACCAGCAGAGCAGAAGTGCAGCGGTGATTCCTGAGAAACTAAACGACGAAAGCCCAGACGCAGACTTCCCTACCTCGTGGGATGAGACGCAGCAGCGACTGGAGAGCTGCGGGACTCACTCCTACATCGAGGAGACGGGTTGTCTGCAGAACACACGCTCGGCGGCATCTTTTTACACCAAGCTTGATCGGCTCACTCTGCTGTCCGGCCCGACGAGGACACAGGTCAAAACTCACATCCATCCACCAGCTCCTAGTTTGTGTTTGCACTCCAGCGAAACTCAGGAAAAGCCAGCTCTTCCTCTCTCCTGCGCTCGTGTCAGTCAAGCTCTCGACGTCATGTCGGAGCTCCATAAAAAGAAACCTGGAATGGGGCTGATAGAGTGCAGCTCCGAATTCGAAGTGGCTTGGAAAGCTGCGGATCCAGTGCACAACTGTGAGAAAACAAACCCCTATGCACTGACTGACGCTGATTCATCCCTAGAACGAACTGCACCTCATACGAATCTGGACTCGTTTATTAAAGCAGGGTCACAAAACGGTGAAAATGTTTTGAGTTCTAGTCCTGCCATCTTGCATCTTCCTCTTCATTGCCAAACCCAGATCCATGGCAGGGCTTCATGGGATATGAATGGCTCTCCCCAGGGATCTGTTTTAGGTGTAAACTCAGCAGAATTAAACACAAAGCAGGAACGCAGCAGTCCCACTGTGGAAGAAAGAAATGGAATGGTAGTTATCAGAAGTACAGACAGAGTAGTATTTTCTGACCACACAGATACACAGATCACCTCGGACAGTTCTTGGCCTTCCTCAGCTTCACTCTGCCTCAGTGTTACAGAAAAAAAGCACATGTTTTCCAGGGTTCCCTTGGCTTTTTCAGGGCTCAGTAACAAAGGGGAAGCCTGCTCAAGTGAGGCAAAAGAAGGAGTAGAGGAAGCCCGTGAGCTGCTAAGCCCTGGAGAGAAGCGTGCACCTACAACAAAGGGATCATCTGTAGGCTGGTTCTCATCTAGCCCTCATGATGCCCCGCCCAACAGGAAGCGAGAGGATGTGGATGGTTTTATAAAACCAGAAAGACCAGATGGTGAAAGAGAAGACCAGATCATAGAGGTGGATGGCTGGTGCCATCTGCCTCGGTTCCCTATCAAGTCACCCGGGGCTGCAGATAAGGCCATGCAGACCTGTTGGGGGCTTCCTGAGAATGAAGTGCGCATCTGGGGGGCACAGATCTTGTTGGCCTTGGAGAGTTTGCATCAGCAAGGCGTCCTGTGTCGGGATCTTAACCCTAGAAATGTTCTACTCACTAGCAACGGTAAGGCTATCAAATCTAGCAACTGTCAAAGACCACCCAATTTGTGCCATGATGATCCATTTGGCAAAATAAATCCATTGGGTATCCTTGTTGGTCTTCAGACAACAATTCTGACGGCTAAAGAACCAAATGG